GTAGTTCCAGCTACTTGGAAGGCTGAGGCGGAAGGATCACCAGAGCCCAGCAGGTCGAGGCTGCAGCGGCCGGGGAGCATGCCACTGCCCTCTAGCCTGGGCGACAGAGTGAGACTCCAACTCAAAAAAATAAAAATAAATTAGCCAGGCGTGGTGGCACACACCTGTAGTTCCAAATACTCGGAAGCTGAGTGGAAGGATCGCTGGAGTTCAGCAGGTTGACGCTGGGATGGCCATGAGTATGCCAGTGCACTCCAGCCTGGGCGACAAAGTGGGACTCCAACTCAAAAAAAAAATTTTTTTTTCTTCTGGGCATGGTGGCCCACGCCTATAATCCCAGCACTTTGTGAGGCCAAGGTGAGAGGATTGCGTGAGCTCACAGGTTCAAGATCAGCCTGGGCAACTTAGCTAGGTGTCTTCTCTACAGTAAATCAAAAAATTATCTGGGTACGTTGGCGTGTGTCTGTAGTTTCAGCTACTTGGAAGGCTGAGACAGAAGGATCACCTGAGCCCAGCAGGTCGAGGCTGCGGTGGCCCGTGAGCGTGCCATTGCACTCCAGCCTGAGCGACAGAGCGAGAGTCCAACTAAAAAAAAAAAAGTTTTTTCAGCCGGGCTCGGTGGCTCAGCCTGTAATCCCGTGCCTTTGGGAGGCTGAGGTGAGTGGATTGCCTGAGCCTGCGGGTTCGAGACCCGCCTGGGCAGGCAAGACCTCATCTCTACAATAAATCAAAAAATTAGCCGGGCATGGTAGCACGCGCCTGTAGTTCCAGCTACTTGGAAGGCTGAGGCGGTAGGATCACCGCAGGCCAGCAGATCGAGGCTGCAGTGGCCAGGTGTGGCCACTGCACTCCAGTCTGAGTGACAGAGTGAGACTCCAACTCAAAAAAAAAAAAAAAAAAGTTTTTTCTTAAAACACATCTGCAGCCTTGAACTAGCCATTGGCCCCCAGCTTGCAACCTCTGTGCCAGACCTCAGCTAAGCAGGTTTTAGATGTCAGTTGCTCTGGAAGGTCTGGGTGCCTACCAAGCATGAGGACCCCCTCGAAGCACTAGTCTGACCCCCTTATTGTACTGGTGGGAAAATGGGTCCACAGAGAGGAAAGGCCTGGCCTGAGATCAGAGAGCAAGATGGTCACAGAACTGGGACCAAAACCTGGGACTCTGGATTCCAGTGCTAGACAGCTGTTCCCTCTCCAACTAGAGAGGACTGGGTGGCACAGAGGTTGGGGTGCAGGCTCTGGATCAGGGTGACCCCACTGAACAGCCAAGCAGCCATGCCATGGGCACATCATTCACCCCTTCCTTGGCTCCCTCTCCAGGTGAGGCTTCAGTGAGCTTTCGTAAAGTTAGTGATGCTGTAGCTTACGTGATTTCTCCTGTTCTTTAGTTATGTGAGACCAAAGAGTTGCTTTTGTTTTCTTTTTTAGAAGTTTTTTTTTTTAAGCCAACTAAATTTAGCAGTGGAGGGTTGTATACCAACTTTAGTTAGAAGGTTTTTGTTTGTTTGTTTTTGTTTTTTTTTGAGTCGGAGTCTCACTCTGTTGCCCAGACTGGAGTGCAGTGGCCGCTCCCAGCC